GGGCGTTGGGGCGAATCCCTTCCCCTGCCGGCGCCCGCCGCCACTCGACTTTGCCCGGTGCGCGGTGCCTGCCCTTGCTTCGGCCGCCAAGCCTCCGGTGCCGGAGCCCGGGCGCTGTGGGAGGCTGCAGCCGGTCCCTGCGCATCTGGGGTTGCGCGTCATGTGCACCTCCCGCTTCGCCGCTAGCTCCGCGGCACCGGGCGGCCGGGAGTAGCGCGTTGCAGCCCGGCCAGGCGCCCACTCCTCGCCCGGCACACGGACCCCTTCCACCCCCGCGCCCTCCCCCACTCAGGAACTGTCAAGGAAGAAAATGCCATGCACACACCTTGGAATGGACGGGCGCCTCAGTCACCGACTCGCCAAACTCTTAGAAGGTGTCCATTGGTCTGTAGGGAGGCTTGGGCACGGAGTAGGAGCCGCTTTCTTATTATTTAATAATGTTGGAAGTGCCGGGTCCGCTGCCAGAGTTGTGGGTCATGTGGGCACAGCAGAGGCTGGCTGCTGCCAGTACCAGGGTTTCCTGAGGATCCTGAAACTATGATCTCATCCTCCTCATCCGCCTCCCCCGCCCCTCTCTCCGCGGGCGCGCACGCACAGCACAGCACACACACACACACACACACGCACTCACACGCACACACACTCACATTGCATGCACTATCCTCCTTCCTGGACCGAAATATTCCTCTAGGGAAATACAATGTTCATGCTCTTCATTGAAAAAAAAAAATAAATCCTTCTGGATGGAGGTTTTTCTCCATCTAAGCTTGATTTATGTGCTTTGTTTATTTTTTACAGTTTTTTCCTCACACGTGCACAGGATCTGAACAGAACCTCAGAATTAAAATAAAAAATAATCATTTATATTGACCCAGATTTTTGTCAGAACCTAAGTAAGAAAACTAACATACAATTTCAATTTTAAACAGAGGCAAAACATACCAAGCTAGATAGTAGTAATATTTAGAATGTATGCAGTGGGATTCTTTCCCAAGCTACAAACATTTCCCAAACATTACCTCATTTATTTGCAGAGCATCTTTGCAGAGGAGGTGGATGAGAAGGTGAATAGTACCGTCACTTCCGAGACAAGCATAGGCCAAATAGCATGACTTATCCAAGTACACGTAAGTCAATATGTCACTATAAATATTAATTGTAAAGGTACTCACAGATTGCTTATTCACTATAATCAATTCCTGGAAACATTGGTAAAGATAGTCTTGATTATTTTTGTTACCTAAGTTTACACGTTCTATATGTATATGTTTTCATATAATTTTCTCTAGTGTAATTGTATATTATCACCAATTTCATATAATTTTCTTTTAGGGGGAATGTGTTTTATGTCTGTATGTATCCACAGTCACATTACTTAAACACCTTATACAGAGAACAACTTTACTCAGTATTTTTAGGTAATTACCATTTGTATGGTTTGGGTATTTCACTTAAACCTATTTTAAATGACAATAAACTTGGAAAGCTATGCTATATTTTGAAGGATGTTGAGAAATTAAATACATGAAACACTTCCCTCCACTTATTTACATTGAGTTGTTGAGAAAACATGTATACTGAAAGATCCAACAGGTGAAATGCTGTTGTTTTTGGTGTTATGAATTATCGTAAAGAAATTGCAAAAAGCCATTCTTTATACCCAATTAATTTTTGTTCTTTGTTAAAATTATATCATTTTCTTGTTTCATGTTTCAGTTTGTCTTTGATCTCCGTATCTTAATGGCCAAAGTAATATGATATGGTAGCTTGTCTTCACCGACACATACACCATACTTAAAAATCTAATATTTTTTATGATTCTAAAAGTTATCACAAAAATCCTTTTACATAGTTTTTGCTCATGTGTATTTGAAAATTCAGTAGTGGCCTTCTAATAGTTCATGAGAAGAGAAATGGTCTGTTACAGAGAATGTGTCGAGGGGAAAGCAGGAGAGAGAGAGTACTGGAAAAAAGAGGGAACAGCTAGAATAAATAGAATTAAGAAATTTCAGAAAAGAGGAAGACAAGAGAAAAATTAACAAATGAATGAAAAAAGATCAACTTTCAAACAAAACCTAACCTTTTGCTGCACAGAAAACTAATTTAGAACTTTTGGGTTGCTACCAAACATTTTTTGGGTAAGTTTTCAGAAAATTAATGGCAAAGTCACCAGGCATCGGGTCTTGCAGAGGCTACCCTGATTGATCTCAATTTTTAAAAAGTCAACTATAGATCAACTAGAAGTCAAATATAGATCAACTAGAAGAAAAAAAATAATATGTAAATGTGATATAATAATAAAGATGACAGTGGGATCAAATAGCCGTGGTACAGATAATACTTTAAAACAAAATTAACATTGAAATTCAGGGAGATAAAAGGGAAACTAAAAAACAGGTATTTTGGGCAGTGAGGAGAAAGGATTGCAATATGTAAAACAAAAATAATAGTAATAATAATGTCTCACATGTTTAATGTACTCCAGATTTTCAAAGTGCTTTTCATATAGTCTTTATTGAGCCTGTTAATAATCAGAGACAGGCCCATTTATGGGCTTCATTTTAAAAGCCCATACTAGTTATCCCTAATCTTCTGCACATCAAATGAGGAAGGTGTTGACAATTTTCACTCATAATGGAAATGAATATAATTTATATATTTTTATCAATCAATCCTAAAGACGTTTCTTGATATACCTTCTTCCAAACTTCCCATAGCAGTTCCACTACATGAATTCCTGAGCATAGATCACACCAACGATTTATAATCCAGGATTTTACACAGTCTGTTGGAGTTAAACTAGAAGCATTAGTGTGTAGCTGACTCTAATGGCTTTGCAGAGTCTCTGGGAAATTTCTGCACAAGAGGTGGAGACCTAAATTGAACAGCAATCTATCAAGCACTTTTTTTTATCTGCTCATGGCAGGATTTGTTCTGATTAGAGGTATATTTAGGGTTGATGGTTATAACTTGTTTCAAAAATGCGTTATAACTTCAGTGGCTTAATCATCACTGGCAGTTTGTATCAGAATACCTTAATTTAGGAAAAATATTTTTAATACACATTTTAAAAAATATTTATTTATGCATACAGCTCTGGGGTACAGGCCAGAGGTGCAGGGGTGGTGAGAGGATTCACCAGACAGAGTTGGGAGCAGAACAGGCAGATCAATGAAGCACACTGCTTAGGGGAGCAGTGGGTGGGTCAGGAGAGGACTGCCGTGCCATGTGGTCACTGCCATGTGGTTATCTCCGGGGGCAGGGATTGAACTTGTGCTGAAGTGGCTTTAGCTTCTTAGTGCTGTGCTTTAATCCGCTGTGCCACTGGGGAGGGCCCGACATCACACATTTTTATGGTTTATACTAATTTCTGTTATCTTTGCTAAAGAAAATAAATAACTGATATTTCCAATCTGCTTTTGTAATTTATTGACTTTTGAATTGGTTATAAATAATGAAAATGGCCAGAAGCATAGTATTCACTATTTTGTAGTGGAATTAAAGGTATATCCATACATTTTATAAAGTGATATATATGATGTTTACATGCTATAGGCATGATTACTAATATCTATGAGCTGTCAATAGGAATTAATAATTTGGACTATTTTAAAAGACTTAAATAACAGGAGTATAGGAAATAGTCAGAAGACTTGGAGAAGGAAACACATCTATTGTATCAATTAGAAACTCTCTTTCCCCTGGAATTAGACTACTTTTTTAGGAAAGGATAGCATAGAGCCTTGAAGACAAAATACAAATGAATTCTTCTCCACTGAAAAAACTTATTAGCTTTCAAGAATAAAAAATGCATTCTTAGTTCAACACAAGTCAAGAAGCTGGATCAACTGGCCTTAAGAGCTACCAAATTTTGAGGCCAAGTTGGGTTCTGGGCAGAATTATGAAGTAGCTGAATTTTGTCTCAGTTTATTTTTCCCTCAATGTTCTACTCTTCTGTATAAACCTTGCCTTGGCTTTGGTCCCAAAGACAGTGAGAAACCTTTGCTGTTCTCTGACTTTTCAAGATACCCCTATGTTAGTTCCCTTTAGCTTCAGAGAAAACATTGTCTTCTGACTGCCAGGAATGTGTAATGTGTTGTAAACATTCATGAAGACATTCATGAAGTTTGAGGGAAGGGATGGGTTTGTGCTCATAAAAGCTAACAATGTATCTTTGGTTTCATTTGCTTCACTTCAAGATGCTCCTTGTGCTATAGTTAGCATTGATTTGCTTGAGAGAGTTTGCACTGAAGCATGGTTTTATCAACTGTGAGAGAAATTCCAAGTCCAGGAGAGCAGAGGTATTCTTTCTTCCCACCTATATCACCCTGCTCCGTAGGTAGACAAATTCTTTACACACAGGGCAATATCTCCTAATTCAGCTGCCTCTGGCAGTAGCTGTTAGGATGTTCAGCCACAGTCTCCTGAGTTGAGCTCCCTGTTTGACCAACTTTCTCTGGAAAAATAGTTTGCATTCTTTGTGTGAAGAGGAGACCAGATCCTAAGAGTGGGTATAAGCGGTCAACCATGTTTTGTTTCCTAGTGTTAGAACAACCCATGGCCATTTTAAAAGCTGTAATTTCATTTTGTAGTGACAATTTATTAATATGTGTTATGGTGGTTCACCTTTCTCAATGGCATCACACTAGTGTACCCTCAACTTCTGGGAGAATTTATTCTCTCAGTGAACCATAAATACAACAAATGTTTTAGATGAAAGCTAAGTGTACTGTCACAGTGCACAGGGGAGGGAGTTGCCAGTTGGAGAATACATCCTATGTGCTTTTAAAAAGATAATCACTTTGTTGCAAAAATTGTTTTTAACCCTATATTTAATTGCTTTTAGAATAAATGATTTTGTTTTTATTTTGCCTTAGAAAATACAGGAAAATCATCAGATTTATAGCCAAGAATAGTACCAATTGACATCAAAACAAATAAAAGCTAATAAATGTAGATGACCAACAAATAACTAAGGACAAAAAGTACTATTTATTGATTTATTGACGATGAATTATCTGAAGAGCTGTACATATTATCAAAAAAATGTCAAATTTCTCCTTGGTGATTTCTAAATAAAACTTAATACTTTAAATACTACCAAAGAAACCTGTTACAAAATAAAAAATGTAAATCAGGTAGCCTGAAAGGAATATTGTGTTGTAATCACCACCTGATTTTGTATACAGATCCTAACTAAACTGTCTACTAGTTGTAATTGAAAATTTACCAGTTATGATTTTTTTTTTACTTGTAGACATCTTAGAAATCATTTTAAGATTAAGGATGCAGTCATGGTGAAAACATCCTTTTTTTCTCACTAGAGAATCAAGCATGTTTAATTCATATAAGAGGAGCTTGAAACATTACTAGTAGCGATAAAGTGAAAATGGTGAGGAAAATTAAAAATTTTACATCTAGCACAATGCAGCATATAATTCTTTTGAGCTAGTAAAATATCACTGACAGTATTTTTTGAAAAAATTTATACATAAATATAAAAAACTGAGGTCCTCCCTGGTGGTGCAGCGGGTTAAAGCGCAGCACTAAGAAGCTAAAGCCACTTCAGCATGAGTTCGATTCCTGCCCCAGAAGTGACCCACATGGCGTGGCAGACCTCTCCTGACCCACCCACTGCTCCCCTCAGCAGTGTACTTCATTGATCTGCCTGTTCTGCACCCCCCCCTGGTGAATCCTCTCA